TTTTATTCATCTCATGGCAGGTAGATAGTTGATTTGCTACCTACTTCTGTTAAATAAGAGGGTGATAAATCAACAGGATGACAAAAAGGAGGATCCCTACCCCCACTATTTTTTTTTTTTAAGATTTATTATTTATTTGAAAGTAAGAGTTACACAGAGAAGGAGAGGCAGAGAGAGAGAAGTCTTCCATCCACTGGTTCACTCCCCAGTTGGCCACAACAGCTGGAGCTGCTACGATCCAAAGCCAGGAGCTTCCTCTGGGTCTTCCCATGCAGGTGCAGGGGCCCAAGAACCTTGGCCATCTTCCACTGCTTTCCCAGGCCATAGCAGGGAGCTGGATTGGAAGTGAAGCAGCCAGATCTCGAACCGGCGTCCATATGGTATGCCGGCGCTTCATGCCAGGGCCTTAACCCATTGCGCCACAGTGCCAGCCCCTCCTTGCCCTAAACGTTTAAGATGGTAGAACACTATAAATAAATATACCCCACCTTCTGACAGGAATGATATTTCCGAAAATCATTGTAGTCTTTAGCTTGAGGGCCTCTCTGTAACAGGATGGAAAGGGTAGGTGCTTGGATAGTACTGCTTTGCTGGTGGGGTAGGCGGAAAGCCATAGGAAGCCTTCTGTCATATTTTTGCTTTGAAGCCGGTGACTCCTTGAGGAGCGTCACCGATGGGAGTTACAAAACAGCTTTTAGCAACTTACCGTAAGGCACTTAGGAAGGGCTTAAGCTGTGCAGTATTTTAGTCCATTTAGCAGGGCCTCTTGTGGTTCTTTCTCTCAGGCAGTTAAAATGATAAGCATCAGGCTAAAAGCTTATAATCAAGCTTCCATTTATAGAAAGCCATTATTCAGGTTGGGGAGAGTAAATTGGAGTCCACCTGAAAGTCCATCTTATGCTTTATTCTGTTCTTCAGTAAAGACAGTTCGTTTTGTTTCTTGTCCTTCCACGTGTGCAGTGGTAAGTCGTCATTCTGTCACACCAAGGTGTAGTGGGAACTTGTAAATTCTGTGAGGCACTGTAGTATAGTTAGAAAAGCAACTTCATTCTGGGGAATACCTGCAGATTAACTTCTGTCACCATCACTGATCTCATCTGCATTTTTAGATCTTTTTTTTCTATCTACTCATTCTCTTATTCTTCATGGTTTGAGGGAGTTAAAAATGAAAAAATACTGGACATAGACATAGAAATCGCTGTGAATTCGTTAGAAATTTAGAGCTCAGAGGTAGCAATCATAATCATTTTTCTAGTCTGCCATCTTATTTTCCAGATAAGACTATTTAAGGAGCTTAACCAAAGTCACAAGTCCGTTTGACGAGCCTGTAGAATTATAGAAATGCACAAATTTGGGGAGAATATTGCAATTCTTTAGCATAATATATTTTCTGAATCTGTATAGCTTTAACTTGAGGAAGTAATAAATGGTTGTCAAGGAGATATAGGTAGAGTATATATACAAATCATTAGGAGATAGGACTTTTCCAGATTTAAAGATTTGTTTGTTTATTTGAAAGGCAGAGAGGGAGAGTCAGAGAAGTCTTCCATCAGCTGGTTCACTGCCCAAATGGCCACAATGGCCAGGGCTGGGCTAGACCGGAGCCAGGAGCCAGTTCATCCAGGTCTCCCACATGGGTACAGGGGCCCAAGCACTTGGACCATCTTCCACTGGTTTTCCAGCACAGTAGTAGGGAAGAAGAGCAGCACCTGAACCAGCACCCATATGGGATGCCAGCACTGTAGGTGGCAATTTAACCTGCTACGCCACTGAGCCGGCCACCAGCTTTTCCAAATTGTATAGGTTTTCTGCTCCAATGGGAAGAATGTTAAAAGTTAATTGGAAGAGACTTGTAATAGGTGAGAAAACCATAACTTTGGGACTGGCACTGTGGCTCAATAGGTTAATCCTCTGCCTGTAGTGCAGGCATCCCATATGGGCACTGGTTCTAGTCCCAGCTGCCCCTCTTCTGATCTAGCTCTCTACTGTGGCCTGGGAAAGTAGTAGAAGATGACCCAGTGCTTGGGCCCCTGCACCCACAGGGAAGACCCAGAAGAGCTCCTGGCTCCTGGGTTTGGATTGGCACAGCTCCAGCTGTGCGGCCATTTGAAGAGTGAACCAGTGGATGGAAGACCTCTTTCTCTCCCTCTCACTATCTGTAACTCTGCCTCTGAAATAAATTAATAAAAATCTTTAAAAAAAAAAAAAACTTTTTATTTCAGAAGCTATTATAGGGGTGGGCTTTTGGCGTAATGGTTTTTAAAGATCGCACTTGGGACATCTGTATCACATGTTGGGGTGCTGATTTCATGTCCTTGCTCTACTTCCAATTCTGCTTTCTGCTAATGCGTATCCTGGGTACCAACTGGTAATGCCTCAAGTAGTTGGGTTCCTGTCACCCAAGTGGGAGACCTAGAATGAGTTCCAGTCCTGTGTACTGGCAGGCATTTGGAGAATGATTCAGTGGACAGGAAATCTCTCTGTGTGTCTATCCATCTCTGTCTTTCTGCCTTTCAAATGAATAAATTATTTAAAAGAACCATGATAGGGTATAGGGATATTAAAAAAAAAAAAAACCTTATGAGGCAGGATTGTGGATAGCCTATTAAGCTGCCACTTATGACACCCACATCCCACATGTTGGTGACCCTGGCATCGAGTCCCACCTTGGCTTCTGTTCCAGCATCCTGCTGATATCCGTTATAGGATACAGCAGTACTTGGGTCCTTGGTAGAGTTCCTGGCTTCAGCCTGGCCTAGTCCTGGCCGTAGCAGGCATTTGGAAAGCGAACCAGCAGATGTAAAGTCTCTCTCTCTCTTTACCTTTCAAACAAATAGAAATAAATAAACTTCAAAAAAGTATGATGTAGAGAGTTTTATTGTATAAAAGGAAAACCAAGTGTCCCGTGTGGATCCTCATCCATGGAAGTAACTACCATTATGTTTCTTATGTGCACTGCTGGAAATTCTGTATATAAATGTATAAGAATTTAAAATGCATATTTTAAGGGAAACATTTTATATGCTGTTCATCTTTTTTTTTAAGTGTAGTATCAGTACATATAAGCAGACTTTTTTTTTTTTTTTTTTTTTTTTTTTTGACAGGCAGAGTGGACAGTGAGAGAGAGAGACAGAGAGAAAGGTCTTCCTTTGCCGTTGGTTCACCCTCCAATGGCTGCCGCGGCCGGTGCGCTGCAGCCGGCGCACCGCGCTGATCCGATGGCAGGAGCCAAGAGCCAGGTGCTTTTCCTGGTCTCCCATGGGGTGCAGGGCCCAAGCACCTGGGCCATCCTCCACTGTACTCCCTGGCCACAGCAGAGAGCTGGCCTGGAAGAGGGGCAACCGGGACAGAATCCGGTGCCCCAACTGGGACTAGAACCCGGTGTGCTGGCGCCGCAAGGCGGAGGATTAGCCTAGTGAGCCGCGGCGCCGGCCGACTTTTTTTTTTTTTTTTTTAAGATTTATTTATTTATTTGGGGCCAGCGCCGTGGCTCACTTGGTTAATCCTCCACCTGTACCGCTGGCATCCCATATGGGCGCCAGTTTCTAGTCCTGGTAGCTCCTCTTCCAGTCCAACTCTCTGCTGTGGCCTGGGAAGGCAGTGGAGGATGGCCCAAGTGCTTGGACCCCTGCACCCACATGGGAGACCAGGAGGAAGCACCTGGCTCCTGGCTTCAGATAGGCACGGCGTGCCGGCCATGGCGGCCATTTAGGGGGTGAACCAACAGAAGGAAGACCTTTCTTTCTGTCTCTCTCTCACTGTCTAACTCTGCCTGTCTAATAAAAAAAAAGATTTATTTATTTATCTGAAAGTAAAATTAGAGAGAAGAGACAGAGATTGATCTTTTGTCCACTGTTTCACTCTCCAAATTGCTGCCATGACCGGGGATGGGCCAGGCTGAAACCAGGAGCCAGGAGTTTCATCCAGGTCTCCCACATGGGTACAGGGAACCAAGGACTTGGGCCATTCTCTGCAATCAATCTCTTTTTTTAAAAGACGATGTGGTTGTGGCACAGCTGGTTAAATTGCCTCTTGGAATGCCCAGGTGGCATATCAGAATGCTGGTTCAAGTCCCAGCTACACTGCTTCCAATACAGTACTTCCTGCTGATGTACGTGTGAAGGCACCTGATGATGGCCCGAGTACTTTGATCTTTGCCACTCATGTGACATGGAGTTCAGGCTCCTGACTTCTTGTGTTTGCTGGCATTTGGTGGTTAAACCAGCAGATGGAAGATCTCTGTCTCTCACTTGCTCTATCACTCTACTTTTCAAATAAATAAATAAATAAATCTGGGGCCGGCGCCGTGGCTCACTTGATTAATCCTCCGCCTGCGGCGCCAGCATCCCATATGGGCACTGGGTTCTAGTCCCAGTAACTCCTATTCCAGTCCAGCTATGGCCTGGGAGGGCAGTGGAGGATGGCCCAAGTGCTTGGGTCCCTGCCACCCGCATGGGAGACCAGGAAGAAGCACCTGGATCCTGGCTTTGGATCGGCGCAGTGCCAGCCATGGCGGCCATTTGGGGAGTGAACCAACAGATGGAAGACCTTTCTCTCTGTCTCTTTCTCTCACTGTCTATAACTCTACCTGTCAAAAAAAAAAAAAAAGTAAATTTTTCTTAAATAAAATGACTACATAATAATTCATTGTAAAAATGTACCAGTACATATTTAACCAGTCCTATATTGATGAGTATTTATTACTTTTCTGCTTTAAAACAGCCCAGCAGTAAACATTCTGGCATATCTTCAGTACAACCCAATTGGGATGTACTAAATGTAGGATTAATTTCTAAACATGGAATTATTAAAGAGTGTGTGCATTTTAAGTTTTCATCTATTAACTGCCAAAGAGATTGAATTAGTTTACATCAAATATGGGCATTTAGGAAAACTCTCCTGGTATTTATATGAAACATACATTCCCTTTAAAGCATTGTTACACTATAAGACTTACATTGACTCTAATAAACTCATTTTTGCTTTGTTTTTGTCTGAAGCCCGTGCCTACTGCACTGGCTCAAGTGGATAGAGAAAAGATCTATCAGTGGATCAATGAGTTGTCCAGTCCGGAGACAAGGGAAAATGCTTTGCTGGAGCTAAGTAAGAAGCGGGAATCTGTTCCTGACCTTGCACCCATGCTATGGCATTCGTTTGGTACTATTGCAGCACTTTTACAGGTGAGTGTATGTCCATGAATGGCAGTTCAGTCCTGTTCTCACACTGTGTACTTCGCTACTTTTGCTCAAATCGTTCTGAAGACTTCAGGGTGATTCTTTAAACATTAGGTTTTGTAAGAACCTGTTTAGAAAAGCCTAAGATGTTTAATTGCAGATTTTTGGATTCTACCCAAGAGATTCAATTAAGTCAGTCTGAGGTGGGCCCTAAAATCTGTTTAAGCAGGTATTTCCCCCACCTCCAAGTGGTTTTCATGTGGATGGTCTAAGAACTACACTGAGAAACATTGCTTTTGGAGTACTGAGGGGCCAGTGCTATGACGCAGCCAGTTAAGCCGCCACCTGCAGCGCCAGTATCCCATTTAGCTTACCCAGTTCAAGTCCTGGCTGCTCCACTTCCAATCCAGCTCCCTGCTAATGCGCCTGGAAAAGTGGTCGAAGATGACCCAAGTGCTTGGGCTCCTGCAGCCGCGTCAGAGACCCAGATCTTGCTCTGACTTCAACTTGGCCCAGCCCTGGCCATTGCAGCCATTTGGAGAGTGAATCAGCAGATAGAAAATTCTTTCTTTCTCTCCTCCTCTCCCTCTCCTGTTCCCTTTCCCTCCCTTGTCTCTTCTTCTCCCCCTCTCTCCTCCCTCTCTCCCTGTCCCTCTCCATTTCTTTCTCCCTTTTTGTCTGTAACTCTGCCTTTCAAATAAATAAAATAAATCTGAATGGATGAAATCGGAAGCAGGCATTTAACATGGCAGTTAAGATGCCCGTATCCCACATCTTTGGAGTACCTAGATTCAACCTCCAGCTCCAGCTCCTAACTCTAGCTTCCTGCCACCCATGTAGGAGACCTCGATTCCATTCTGGCTCCAGCTTTGGCCCTGGCCCAGTCCTAGCCGTTACAGACATTTGAGAAGTGAACCAGCAGATAGGGACTCTGTCTCTCTGCCTCTCAAGTAAATAAAAGCAAATGGAATTGTGTTCAGCAAATCATGACATTTTGACAGACTACTGTTTGTACATGTCCTCAGTCATAGACTCATGGTTCTTTTGTTTCTAAGATTTATTTATTTATTTGAAAGAGTTACACAGAGAAGGAGAGGCGGGACGGGGTGAGTATCTTACATCTGCTGGCTCACTTCCCAATTGACCACAAAGACGAGCTGTGCCGATATGAAGCCAAGAGCTAGGAGCTTTTAGGTCTCCCATGCAGGTGCAAGGGCCCAAGGACTTGAGCCATCTTCTACTGCTTTCCTAGGCCATCGCAGAGAGCTGGATCAAAAATGGAGTAGCTGGGACTCAAACTGGTGCCCATATGGGATGCCAGCATTGCAGGTGGCGGCTTTACCCACTACACCACCGTGCTGGCCCCTAGACGCATTTGTTGCCTAACCAAGCTCAAATTTCCTTGAGTCACAACAGTTGACTTAACACCTTATTGGCCCACGCTTGCATTGTTACAACTTAAAGTAGGTTGCTGACAAAAAGAGAAATTATAAAACTCTAGGAATCCATCAAATACCTCAGCAGTTATAAGAAGAGATTATAGGTAAACACAGTTGCCACCATAGAAATCTTCCAAGAAAAACACATATAACTATCTTAACTATTTAGTCAAGTATGTTTGCAATAAAAGGGTAGGAGCATTGTTTATTTTCTTTTTTAAGGTTTATTTTATTTCAAAGTTAGAATTACAGAGAAAGAGAGGGAGAGATCTTCCATTTGTTGGTTTACTCCCCAGATGACTACAGTGGCCAGGCTGGGCCAGACTGAAGCCAAGAGCCAGGAGCTTCTTCTGGGTCTTCCACGTGGATGCAGGGGCCCAAGTACTTGAGCCATCTTCTGCTTTCCCTTTAGCAGGGAGCTGGATCAGAAGCGGAGTAGCTGGGACTCAAGTTGGTGCCCACATGGGATGCTGGTATTGCAGGTGGCAGCTTTACTTGATACACCACAACGCCAGCCCCTGTTTATTTATTTCTACTCCTTTGGTGGTTCAATTCTGTTGGGATCTGTGGAATTAAGAGATTGAGGGTCAGGGGGTCTGTGGTGTGGTGGATAAAGCCGCTGCCTGCAGTGCTAGCATCCCATACGAGCACTGGTTCGAGTCCACTTTCGATCCAGCTCTCTGCTATGGCCTGGGAAAGCAATAGAAGATGGCCCAAGTCCTGCATCCACATTAGAGACCCGGAAGAGGCTCCTGGCTCCTGGCTTTGGATTGGCTCAGCTCCAGCCGTTGCAACCATTTGGGGAGTGAACCAACAGATGGAAGACCTCTCTCTCTGCCTTTCCTTCTCTCTCTGTGTAGCTCTTTCAAGTAAATAAATTTTTTAAAAATTAAAAAGATTAGGGGGTTTTGGGTTTTTTGCTTTTTACCTTAGCAATGTGGCAATTAATTTTTAATTAGTTATTTCTTGTTTCTCTGCTCATTTCTGTTTTTTAGGAAATTGTAAATATTTATCCATCTATCAACCCACCTACCTTGACAGCACACCAGTCTAACAGAGTTTGCAATGCTCTGGCGTTACTGCAATGTGTGGCATCACACCCAGAAACCAGGTAAATGCTTCATGTGAGTCAGTGGGGGAAGTTTCTGTTGAATATGGTCCTAACCCTTTGCTGTGTGATGAGAGGAGGGCAGGCGGTGGGGTGCACAGTGTATGTGTGGATATGAATCTTTAGGACTCTAACTTACTTTGTTCCCATACCTAGCAGTGCGCTGAAAGAGCGGTGTTGATGAGTCAGGTATTTTCACTGTGGTTGAGATTCCCCTTAGGACACCTGCATGCCATATGTGAGTGCCTGGCTCCAGTCCCAGCTGTGCTTTTGATCCAGCTTCTTGCTCATGTGCGTCCTGGGAAGCAGCACATGATAGCTTGAGTACTTAGGTTCCTGCTACCCACACAGAGGACTTAAACTGAGTTCTGGGCTCCTGGCTATAGTCTGGCCCACCTGCAGCTGTTGTAGGCATTTGGGAAGTGAACCTGCAGATAGATGAACAATCTTACTCTGTCTCTCTCTCTCTCTCTCTCTCTCTTCCTTTCAAAATAAATGAAAATAAATAAATATTAATTTTAAAAGTTTTGTGCAGAATTCGGCACAATGGTTAAGACACTGCTTGAGATGGCTCGCGTTTGAGACCAAACTGTACTGCCAATTCCAGCTTCCTGCTAATGCACACCCTGGGAAGCAGCAGATGATGGCTCAAGTACTTGGGTCCATGCCAGCCATGTGGGAGATCTAGATTGATTTCTCAGCTCTTGGCTTCAGCCTGGTTCACCCCGAGCTATTGTGGTCATTTGAGGAGTGAACCAGTAGATGGGAGATCTCTGTCTGCCTTTCGAATAAAATTTTTAAAATCTTAGGTATTGAGTCTGCTACAAAATGTAACTACAAATAATAGACTGTTATCCATATTAGTTGCCTAACATATTAGCAGTAGATTAAACTGTTTTCCTGTTGACTGAAGTATCTGAAATGTTCTAACCATAATGAAGAAAGCACATTTAAGCACAGCAGACAGATCTGATAATGACTCCTTTATTTTGTTGACCTGCTACCTGTAAATATTATATATATATATATATTTTTTTTTTTTTTTTTGACAGGCAGAGTGGACAGTGAGAGAGAGAGACAGAGAGAAAGGTCTTCCTTTTGCCGTTGGTTCACCCTCCAATGGCCGCCGCGGCCAGCGCGCTGCGGCCGGCGCACCGCGCTGATCCGATGGCAGGAGCCAGGAGCCAGGTGCTTTTCCTGGTCTCCCATGGGGTGCCGGGCCCAAGCACCTGGGCCATCCTCCACTGCACTCCCTGGCCACAGCAGAGGGCTGGCCTGGAAGAAGGGCAACCGGGACAGAATCCGGCGCCCCGACCGGGACTAGAACCCGGTGTGCCGGCGCCGCTAGGCGGAGGATTAGCCTAGTGAGCCGCGGCGCCGGCCAATGTGAATATTATATTAAATCATAAATTAGGTGATGGAGGTAATTTAGAAGACTCTTGGGCACTTACTAACATTTATGACCTACTCTTAAAATCTACAGTTGTATATTTAAGTTAATCAATTGAAAAGTACTTAGTCTGATTACAAGGCAAATCGTGTTTTTGTATTTTTTTTAAAAGACTTACTCTGTTTATTTGAAAGGCTGAATGCCAGAGGGAGAAACAGAGAGACGAGCTCTGCGATCTGCTGGTTCACTCCCCTAATGACTGCAATGGCCAGGGCTGGGCCAGGCCAAAGCCAGGAGCCTGGAGCACCATCTGAATCTCCGACGTGGCTAGCAAGAGCCCATGTATTTAGGCCATCTTCTGCTGCTTTCCCAGGCACATTAACAGGGAGCTAGCTGGATTAGAAGCAGAGCTGCCAGGACTTGAACCAGTTCCTCAAACCCTGTTCTTTTAATCATTCCTAATATAGACTGGATGCCGATAGCGCTCAGTAGCCTTCAGTTATGATAGCCTAAAATGTTTCCAGACGGTACCACATGCTCCGTAAGGGGCAAAGTCGCCCTGTTGAAGAACCATTGGTTGTGCCGGCACTGCGGCTCACTAGGCTAATCCTCTGCCTGCGGTGTTGGCACTCCGGGTTTTAGTCCTGGTTGGGGTGCCGGTTCTGTCCCGGTTGCTCCTCTTCCAGTCCACCTCTCTGCTGTGGTCCGGGAAGGCAGTGGTGGATGGCCCAAGTGCTTGGGCCCTGCACCTGCATGGGAGACCAGGAGGGAGCACCTGGCTCCTGGCTTCGGGTTGGCGCTGTGCACCAGCCGTGGCAGCCATTTAGGGGGTGAACCAATGGAAGGAAGACCTTTCTCTCCGTCTCTCTTTCTCACTGTCTAACTCTACCTGTCAAAAAAAAAAAAAAGGAACCATTGTTTGGTCCAAGACCTTGGGCCCCTACACCTGCGTGGGAGACCTGGAGGAGGTTTCTGGCTCCTGGCTTTGGATCAGCACAGCTCCAGCCTTTGCGACCAGTTGGGGAGTAGACCAGCAGATGGAAGACCTCTCTCTCTACCTCTGCCTCTCTGTAACTCTGCCTTTCAAGTAAATAGATCTTTAAAAAGAAGAACAACATTGATTGACATTGATTGTAGCCAATGACCAGTAACATTCTCTCCTAAGAAATCCTTGCTCTGGCATGTTCTATAGGCCATAGAGAATTAACCACCAGGAAATCTTAATGTTCAAGAGCCTTAGAAGTCAGCTCTGGACTCTGAATGGGATTATTTTTTCTTCCAGGTCAGCATTTCTTGCAGCACACATCCCACTTTTTTTGTATCCCTTTTTGCACACTGTCAGCAAAACACGTCCCTTTGAATATCTTCGGCTCACCAGCCTTGGCGTTATTGGTAAGTTACGGAAGCCTAAAATCCTCATTCTGTCTATTTGGGTGTTTTAGTCTTGCCCTAGGGGCTTTTTTTTAACTTCTGTCTTTGAGATTGTGTCATTCACTAATGAATAAGTGTCAGGAACATGCTGACTCTTATAAGGAATCATTCTTATGTTTTTAATAAGCTATGAGACCCAATGTCTAGGATTCAATCCCATATAAAATATAGAAACATTTACAGAATTAGAGAGTAAAAAATAATAACCTGATCAGCAAATATTATTATAGGAGCAAGAATTTGGATTTGAACTTAACTTTGTCCTTCTTTGTGTGAGTGTGGTTGATCATTCTTACTTCTAAGCAATTCTCCCATAACTCCAGACTTTAGCTTCTGCTATTTCACACAAAGTTAAATTTTTTCATTCCCAAGTAAACATTTCTATAGACATTTATTTATAAGGAGAGATGTGTGTAAAGTAATTTTTACTCAAGAAAATAAGGTATCAGTTGTTTGAGAATCTCAGACTCCTGGAGAGTTGAAGAACTATCTTCACACTTCTGGCATGTAATACATTCAAGAAGACTTCCTCTCCAAATCACCCTTCCTTCCTTTGATGTCTTTCTCATAGGGTTTTGTTTTTTTTTGTTTTTGTTTTTTTTTTTGTTGTTTTTTGTTGTTGTTGTTGTTTTTTGGTACTGAACAAAAAACAAAAGTACTGATTGATTACACAACTTTATTTTGGTGGCTTATTGTTTTATGTTGTGTATGTCCCCATACCTCTGAGTATGAACTATGAATGAAGAAACTATAAATGTTTGGTGTCTCCATGACATTTTCGTTAGAAATGTTTTATTCTCCTTTTAAGGAACAACTACTATGTCATATACTCCAAATAAATGCTACTGCTTTGCATCTCCCCCCAGATGATGCTGTAATTAGAAATCTTACTCTGATACATTCTTTTCTGCTTTTTAATTATAAGAGTTTCTCATGTATGATTTAAAGCATCGACATAATTCCAGCCAAAAGAAAATGTTTTTAGATCCTTAAGTCTCTCCTCTTCTGTCTCTGTTGTTCTGCCTGACAAATAAATGAATATATTTTTTTTAATTAAAAATCTGCCTGGAATGCCTGTATCCCATATCAGAGTGCCTAGCTCTCTTTGAGTCCCAGCTTTGCTCTTCAGTTCCAGCTTCAGCTAATGTGCAGCCTGGAAGATTATCAACTCAAGTAGGTGGGTCCCTACCACATACATAGAAGATCTGGACTGAGTTCCCTGGCTGTTGCAGGCATTTGGGGGAGTGAACCAGGAAGTGGAAGATGTCTCTCCCTGTCTAACTCTTTCAAATAATAAATAGATCAATCTTAAGAAAAACAAAAACATAGGCCTACAAAGGGAAAATAGCTATTATACAGATGAAGTTGTTGTAGAACCAGGATCCAAGTATGTCCCTGTTTCTCATTTATAATTGTTTTTCTCTTGGATGTATGCTACAATGTTTGTGCTCTTTGGGAGGATAAAGGGCAATTATCTATGGAGTAATAGTGTTTATGCCCATTGTGAAAAAAGATCCAAATTGGCACCGTTACTTTGCTACCTGGGAATGTGCTTTAATACTGATGAAGAGGGGCCGGTGCCATGGCACAGTAAGTCAATCCTCCGCCTGCGGCGCTGGCATTCCGTATGGGCACCAGTGCTAGTCCCAGTTGCCCCTCCTCCAGTCCAACTCTGCTATGGCCTGAGAAAGCAGTAGAAGATGGCCCAAGTGCTTGGGCCCCAGCACCCACGTGGGAGACTGGGAAGAAGCTCCTGGCTTCGGCCATTACGGCTATTTAGAGAGCTAACCAACGGAAAGAAGGCTTTCTCTCTGTCTCTTCTTCTCACTTTCTGTAACTCTACCTCTCAAATAAATAAATAAATAGAAAAATACTGATGAAGAATTCTCTTCACTTACCTAAAACAAGTACAGAATGGATTGGTGATATTATTCTAAGATTGTCTACCAAGGGGCCGGCGCTGTGGCACAGCAGGTCAACACCCTGGCATGAAGCGCTGATTCAAGACCCAGCTGCTTCACTTCCAATCCAGCTCTCTGCTATGGTCTGGGAAAACAATAAAGGATGGCCCAAGTCCTTGGGCCCCTGTACCCACATGGGAGACCAGGAAGAAGCTCCTGGCTCCTAGCTTCAGATCGGCGCAGCTCCGGCCGTTGCAGCCAGTTGGGGAGTGAACAATGGATAGAAGACCTCTCTCTGTGTAATCTGACTTTCAAATAAAATAAATAAGTCTTTAAAATAGAAAAAAAAAAAAAAAGATTGTCTACCAGGAGTGATAATAATGTTATTTAGATGATTGACTGCTGCTGACGACATGATTGACAAATTTGGTATCTCATCTTTCAGTGTAGCTGATAGTCAACTTGTACTTTTTTTCCTACCTTTTTTTCTTTTTAAACATACTGGAATCTGATTCCCTGTCATAAAGACCACAGTTTGTGTTAATTTAAATTCCCAGAATTCATTAGGTGAACAAAGTTAATTTTAACTGGAAACCCCGTCTGAAACAATTTTGTTTGTATTTTCTTTAGGGGCCCTCGTAAAAACAGATGAGCAAGAAGTAATCAACTTTTTATTAACAACAGAAATTATTCCTTTGTGTTTGCGCATTATGGAATCTGGAAGTGAACTTTCTAAAACGGTATGTGCCTCTAACAGATTCTACATTGTGTTTGGGTCTTGAGCTGCAGATTTGTGGTCGTGGCGTAATTTTTCGCCTTTCTTCAGCATTTTGAACCTTGTATAATTTTTTTTCTCTTGAATAGAAATTATGATAAAATGATCGTTTAAAAACCCCTACCACTCTAAAGGATATCTAGTTTAACACTAAATATATCTCTTTCTTCTGAACCCGGTTCTCATCCCGCCCCAATAAACAGACTTATATTACGTGACTTGTTTGTTGTCTTCAGTGTCTCCAAATATGGAACTGTACCTCACATGCTTACTTCTAATTCTGACATTCATTGTTTTCCTATCACTCTCAGCTTTTGATCTTTTTATTTCTGTTTGCTTCCATTAAAATTGTGTATCTCTTCCTGACAGCAGTTTTTACCCCTTCACTGCTTTTCCCTTATCAGATAGGATGGGGTTAATTGTGGCTTTTTTTTTTTTTTTTTTTCCAAGCCACCAAGGGAAGCTCGATTGTTGGTCTCATTGATGTTGTTTTGGCTGTGGGATGTAGCTTTGTTCATGTTGGAGAATATTTATAAATTTTAGGTTCTTAGGTAGAAGAGCTTTTATATGCAGTTTTTCTGAGCATTTGGGCACCTAACATCCTTGTGTGCCACTTTTGGAAATCTGAGATCTTAAGATTTTGTTTGTGCTTTTCAGTGTTTCTACCCCTAGAAATACTGAGGACATAATTAGGAATGCATGAATATATAGCTATAATAATGTATACACATCCTACATAATACTGAAATGTTAGAAATAATATAAAGAAATCTCAATAAGTAAATAATTCGTGTTATGTCTATGTAATGTGCAAATACTAAAAATATGTATGTTGGGCAGGCATTGTGATACAGTCAGTTAAGCTGCCATTTGGGGCACTCACATCTCATGTCAGAGTTGCTATTTTGAGATCTGGTTACTCTGCTTCCCATCCAGCTTCCTGCTAACTCACCTGAAAGACAGCAGCTGGTAGCCAGAACACTTGGGTTTCTGTCACCCACATGGGAGACCTGGATGGAGTTCCAGGCTCCTGGCTTCAGCTTGGCCCAGCCCTGGCTGTTTCAGGCATTTGGGAAGTGAACCAGCAGATGGAAGATTTCTCTGCTTTTCAAGATGAAAATAAATAAATAAGCAAATATTAATAAAAATCAAAAGCATGTGAACAAGAAATTCTTTTTTTAAAAAAAATCATGTATATATATTGGAATGATAAAGTATATTGTGTATAATGTGCAGGAGTTTCTGCTTGCTTAGGTTTCTGATTGATGGTCGTGCCTGGGAAAATGAACATTTGATCGGGAGACAAGTCTGAGCAGCTTTTTGGCTTCATTAATTTTGTTTACTCCAGGTTGCCACATTCATCCTCCAGAAGATTCTCTTAGATGACACTGGGTTGGCTTATATATGTCAGACATATGAACGTTTCTCCCATGTCGCCATGATCTTGGTGAGTTCTTTCACTTCTACCCCTTTGCAACTATTTCTTCTCGCTCAGCTTAGTCCCTTTGCAATTGGCACTAAGCAGCTTGTTTTCTAACTAGAAATAACAGTTCTGGAACCTTGTATAATGACTCTCAGACTGTCTGATCTGATGTCAATTAGAATTATTTTGTTTTGTGTATTTTTTCCTATCTCTCCCCCTGTTTGGGGGGAACCAGGGTAAAATGGTCCTGCAACTATCCAAAGAGCCTTCTGCCCGTCTGCTGAAGCATGTAGTAAGATGTTACCTTCGCCTCTCAGATAATCCCAGGTAAACATTTACAGGATTTGTAGACTTTTTAGGGAAATACTCTCTTGAGTGCTATATAGCTATATAGCTCCTGTATCTTTAGAACAGGGAAAGAATACAACTGTATTTATCTAGAATAGAATTTAAATTCCTTTTAAAATTTGAAGTGCTGAATTTAAAAATCCATCAGGGTTTTATCTTCTACTGTAAATCTCTATGCTATTCTGAAATTCCAGAGAATCCAGACAATTTCAAGGGAAGCCTTGTGATGTGTTACTCCTGTGGTTTCAGCTTTGTGTTGTAACTCCACTTGGTCAGAAAGAGTTGTGTACTTTCAAAGATCTCTTAGAAAGAAATAGCCCAGAGGACTCAAATTGTTTCCAGTTCTCTCCTTGATTCCTGTAAAGTCCTTAGAAATAATTATTTTATTTTCCTGTGTTCATAATCTTCCTGTCAGAAAGCATACATTGTAGATATAATGTACTTTAGAAATGTTTGACCTTTTGCTATGCAAATTCATAATTCATGCTGAAAGCCAGTTCCTCAGATTCTGCTAAACCACATAATGGAGTGATTTCTGTATTCCTAGGAATAGTGAAAGCTTGATTTAATGTGAACACAGTCTCCGGTCACTGAGGTTATTTAAGCCCTACCTGTTCTTTTGAGCATTTTGTTCTGTTCTTCAGTGGTTCCTGTTTTCACCAAAGTTTGAAACTGTGTTTAAAATTCTACTTGTATGATGCAAACACATCTGAGCACAAAAGCTATGACTTTGTTTAGAATAACTCTAGTGCTTTAAATAGTTAACATTTGCCTTTTTTAGGTTTTCAGATTTGACTTTCTGCTGGTCATCTTTTCAAAGAAAATGAAACATTTAAAAGTTCAACTGATAATGCTGCTACCATAGTTATGTTTTTATTGCTCATCTCTTATTAAGGTTTTAAAATACAAAAGTGAAGCAATTTCTGTAATAATAATGTTAATTTAGTATAGAAATTTTGAAACTATAAGTGAGGTCCTATCCCCTGTTACTGTACGGATTTTTGAAATATTTCATTTACTATAACCCATTTATTTCTAACATAAGTATTTTATCAACATTTACTGTAATAAATCAGAAAGCAGTTTGAATTGAAGTAAACTGTTGCACCATCTTATTCCATTTTGCTTTTTCTTGAAATTCTGCATTGGGGGTATCATTTTGAGAATGCTTGCAGACTACTGATCCTGAAGATTTCTGAGCCTCTTCGTAGTAGAAACTTTAGAGAATTTTAAAAGCTTCTTAATGTTACTTGACAGAGCCATAGATTCCCAGGATACTGTGTGTGTGTATGTATATATAGTATATATAAATATATCTAAGAAGGGGTTCTTCCCTGTCCCCAAAATGTGGGTTTATGTGTTGGTCTCCCTGGTTGGTTTGTTTGTTTCTGATGTAGGGCACGTGAAGCACTCAGGCAGTGCCTCCCTGACCAGCTGAAGGACACAACCTTCGCCCAGGTGCTAAAAGATGACACCACCACGAAACGCTGGCTTGCACAACTGGTGAAGAACCTGCAAGAGGGCCAAGTCACCGATCCCCGGGGTATCCCCCTGCCCCCTCAGTGATCCTCCCCTGCCCTCTTCCACTACTCCCCAGGTTGGGGAAGGGAGGGGCAACCTACGAGGAAAACAGCTCAGGTTTTATCGCCAACCGGGAATAGACAACCTCAATGCTGAACCGCACTGGAGAAAAGGGGCGAGGTCCCCCTGCTGAGGTGTGTGGGCTGCCATCTCAGGCTGCCTTGAGGACCTGGGCTCCCTCTGCTACTCCCAGGAAATGGGCTCCTGACACAGCAGTCTGCCATCACAGCCCCAGGAGGGTGTCAACACCAGCAAATGCTGTGTTTGCAGCATGCCCACGATGACCTTGCTCCCCACCCCTACCCAGCCGCTGGCAGGGAGGGGAGACGGTGGTGATAGCAGCAGCACTCTAGGCATGGTGACCGCCTGGGACCAAGCCATGTGGCATTTTATTTTGCCTTCCTGGAAGACTCAAGATGTGTCTCTTCATTCTCTCTCTCAGTATTTGTTTACTTTGTTTTTTGTTTTTAAATCTCAGAGAGAGGTGTGTTTAGTGGACACAGCTGTAATATTCAGCAAAACTTTGTCAATTGGCACTGTTTACAAGTCTGTTAGCTGCATAAGCTCAATAAAACGTTGGTCTGGGCATTACATCCCCTCTGGCAGGCCCATAGCTGCGTTGAGCTGTTGGGAGGAATGGGAGGCACGAGAAAGATGTGAAGCCAAAGGACAGCAGCACCCCACCGCCTGTTCCCCTCCCTTCTCCCCTTCTACTCTTGAGTCCTGGACACCACCAGGGCCTTAACCTTGTTTCCGGCTTTAGCCGCTAGCTTTTCCAAAGCAGTGCTTTTCCTTTTGTTACTTCCTCATATTAAGCTTAAAACAGATGTCTTAATTCTTCAGGCTGTCCTGGAAGGGTATTGTCGTGGGCAAGAGCGGTGACAGTGGACCTGGGTGTCAGTCCAAGTCTTCACAGGTGTTTTAAAAGGGAGGTGCCTGAGGTTAAAGTTACAGGCTGCTTGATCCCATTCTTTGTTTTAGTGGATTTCAGCAGCTCCATCTGTCTTCATGATTGTATTTGAAGCAGTATTAACTAAATGAGTTAATTTTATTTAGATTTAAGATGGAGGGCTGGACTCTGCTCACTCACTCAAGTCTTTTTTTGGTGGTTTTTTTTTTTTTTTTTTTTTTTTTTGGACACATTTGTCTTGTGGTCTATGGGAACTACAGGGTTACCACTAAAATATTTTTGACTTGTTCATATCGTGCCGCAGAATTGCCCCTCCTTCTCTGGAGCTTTAGCTTGCTCTGCTCTATAGCCTAGTGTGAACTGCCTTGCTGGCCCCCAGTTCTTCCTCCTGCTAGCACCTTTCTCTCCCTCCCTCCCTCCCTCCCTCTCTCTCTCCCCCTCTCTCCCTCTCTCCCTCTCTCCCTCTCTCCCTCTCTCTCATATCCCATCTCCAAAGATGGGGTTGCTAATCCAGCTCTAGAGGGAGACCAAGTCTTTCTGTCCATGTCGCACACAGTTGAGTGAACAAGTGTGGGGAGTTTGTTGAGCTTGGGCTCAGAGAAACCTCTGCAGAGGCAGCTGTGCCAACACAAGGGCTCGTGCAAGCCGACTTTGACCAGGGAGCCGGCCTTGTTAGTTGGCTTCTGTCTCTTTAGAGCAAGAAAGGAGTCGCTGAAGAGCCTAGATGCAGGATGGGTAGAATAAGCACTTGCTCCCCTGCCTTCCAAATGAAGAGGGAAATGAGGCCAGCTCTCAACAGCCTGAGGAGGAGGGGAGGAGTCCAGGAGAAAACAAAGATGGCACGGACGGCATAGATGTCCTGACTCCCTTCAGCCGGTGGGCTGTGATCTGGAGTCCAGCTGGTGTAACCCTGATCTTTGACAACCGCCTGCCTGCTGCTTTCATCTGTCTTTCAGATGAGCCAAAGTTTTCTCATTTTCCCTCCACTTAGGAAGCAACTGAGGCCCAGGGCCTAGCTCCCTGAGAAATTCTCTTCTCTCTCCATCTTTCGGTGCATTGGCCATGTGTCTGTGCCAATAGTGTCTTAACTCTTGTCCCTTCTGTTCTCATCTGGCCTTGGAACCCACAGACGAGTTGGTGGGGAAGGGGTGGAATGAGTATTACTCCTTGTAGTTGATCTTAATGTTGTATTATATGAAAAGATCCCTTTCCTTATTTTGTGTTTTCCATCCCTCTCACACCTTCAACAGGATTGAAATAAAACATGCTTCTTTGTTTTTGTAAAAATAATTTTTCCTTTAAACTGGAGATTTTCATTCTGTCATTATAGGTACTTTGGTCAAATAATGCTTGTCTCACTCCTGCGTACATACTGCCCTGCCGAGAGGGCAGTGATGGTTCCTTTGTGGACTGATCTTTGAGAGCAACCAACCGGTGTGTGACGCTGTTTGGGAGGCTGGGATGGTGCCCCTTACCTGATAGAGTTAATCTTGCTGGAATAGCTCTTCCCTTCTGGGGTATAGAGCCGGTGAATGGGAGAGACTTCTAGAAGTGAAGAAGTGATGCTTGAAGCATTCTGTTATGGACTGTAATTTTTCTCACCCAAGGAGTTCAGGACTTAGAGCATGTCTCCAGAGTTGTTTCCAGGCCTGTCAGCAGGACACAGCCAACTCTTGCTTTTGGCTTCTTTGTTCAAGGGTATTAAGTGGCCTGTGACTGTTGCAGTGGGGGTACAGGGCAAGGAGAGATGTTGGTAACCTTCAGAGCACACCTTCCGATCTGCCCCCTATTTCTGCTACTCAGTGGCGTGGGGATATACAAAGGTATGGCTGTCAGCAGCCTAAGGAAAACATTTGGAACAGCCACCATAGAATGAAGTGAGATTTTCCTTCTTTGCTGAAACATTATAGAATTTAATTTATGGAAAAATGTTTCAATGCATTGTTTCTAAAGCAGAACAAATAGAAAATGTGAACGCCACAATTTACCTAGCTTAATTGACATATAGAACACGGCACTCTTAATCAGAAGTATACATGTTCTTTTTTAAAAAATATATTTTTATTTCACAGGCACAGAAGCAGCGAGATGTATCATCCATTCACTGGTTCACTTCTCAGATGCCTGCAACAGCCCAGACTGGGCCCCCATTGTGAATACCAGAACCTAAATATTTTAGCCATCATCTGCTGCCTTCCAAGGAAGCTGGAAATTGAAGTGGAGCCATGACTCCAGTGTGGGAGGCAGGTGTCCCAAGTAGTGTCTTAACCACTGTGCCAAATGCCCCTACGTGCTCTTTTTAATTGCATCTGAAAACATTTACCAGAAATGATTCATCAAGCAAGCCTCAGTATTTTTCAGAAAAAAATTAGTAGAGTGTTCTCTGACTGTAGTGGGATTAAGCAAGGAAAAGGAAAATTAATTGAAAAGTCCCTAATTGTTCAGGCATTAAGAATTGTAGATAACTCATGGGTCAAACAAGAAGTCACAAAGGAAATTGGAAAATGTTTTGAATTGGTTGATAGTGAAGATACAACATGTAAAAACCTATGGTATACAGCTGAAGTGCTTTTTAAAATATATATGTATGTATATACATATATTTTTGTGTGTGTGTATACATATATTTGAAAGGCATAGTCACAGAGAGAGAGATCTTCCATTAGCTGGTTTGCTCCCCAAATGGCCACAATGGTTAGGAATGGGCCAAACCAAAGCTAGGAGCCTCTTCAAGTTTCCCATGTGGGCCTTCACTGCTTTCCCAGGCATATTAGCAGGGAGCTGGATTGGAAGTGGGGCATCTAGGACTCCAACCAGTGCCCATATGGGATGCCAGGATCACAGGTGGTGGCTTTACCTGCCACGCTACAATGCTGACCCCCAGTAAAGTGTTTTAAAAACAAACAGGGTTGACATTTAGCCTAGCTGTTAAGATACCCACATTCTCTAAATGGTACTTGGGTTCAGTACCTGACTCCAGCTTCCTGCAAGTGCAGACACTGGAGGCAATAGTAAAGTATCAAGTAATTGGATTACTGCCATTCATATGGAAGACCTGAACCAAACTCCAGCCAGCCCCTGGCTTTGACCTGGCCCAGTCCCAGCTATCATGGGCATTTGGGGAGCGAACCAGTGGGTGGGAACTGTGTTATCTGTCTATGCCCCTCATGTGAATAAATTCTAGGAACTAGGTAACTTTAAAATCTGCACATTAAAAAAGAAAGGCTAAATGTAATCTTTGTCATGTCAGAAATATTCAAAAATACAAGAAAAACATTTTCAAAAATTAGGAAACAAATGTACTATAAAATCAATAAAAGGAAGTCAGTTCCTTGAAAACAAAATTGGGAGCTGGCAGTGTGGCATAGCAGGTAAAGCTGCCATCTGCAGTGCTGGCATCCCATATGGGCATCAGTTCAGGTCCTGGCTGCTCTACTTCCAATCCAGCTCTCTGCTATGGCCTGGGAAAGCAGTACAAGATTGTCCAAGTCCTTGGGCCCCTGCACCCACATGGGAGACCCAAAAGAAGCTCCTGGCTTCAGATGAACGCAGCTCCAGCCATTGTGGCCATTTGGGGAGTGAACCAGCAGATGGAAGACCTTTCTTTCTCTGCCTATCAAAAAAAATTGAGAGCAGGTGCCACAGCTCACTTGGCTAATCCTCCACCTGCAGTGCCGGCACCCCGGGTTCTAGTCCCAGTTGGGGCACTGGATTCTGTCCCAGTAGCTCCTTTTCCAGTCCACCTCTGCTGTGGCCTGGGAAGGCAGTGGAGGATGGCCCAAGTGCTTAGGCCCTGCACCCACATAGGAGACCAGGAGGAAGCACCTGGCTCCTGCCTTCGGATCAGCACAGCGCGCCAGATGTAGCGGCCATTTGGGGGGTGAACCAACGGAAGGAAGACCTTTTTCTCTGTCTCTCTCACTGTCTAACTCTGCCTGTCCAAAAAAAAAAAATTGATACCCTCTTAGCAAACTGATCAGAAAAAATAAAAAAACAGTATAAGTAGAGAAAAGTACATTACTCCTGACTTAGAGTCATCAATCTTATAGAAACTTCCAGATAATAAAAAGGGGAATGAATCCCACCTAATTCACTTTGGAAGTTGTAGAACCCAGCCGCTAAAACCTGGCAAGAACATCACCAGGAAGAAACACCATTTTCTTCCATGAAATCATGGAAATTCCCAGACAAAATAAGCACAAGATTGATTCATGAGAACCAGTCAATGCATTTCACATAAAAGTCACACAGCTTAGATATTTTTAAAAGAAGATCAGGAATAAAACATTCTTAATATGATCTAAAAATATGAACATAAACCCTACAGTAAACCTCCCAAATATTGGAGTCATTCTTAAAATGAGGACTGAGACAGGATGTTCATTATCACCTCCACTTACAGGTGGCCAGGGTGATCGAAACAAAAGTTACAAAGGGGAAAACTTGCTGACAACATAGTCTGTCTACATAGATGAGCCAAAAGAACCTACTCTTAGAATTATTGAGTGAATTTAGCAAGGTCACAGAATAAAGAGTAAAAATTTAAAAATTACATGTTTATCCAATATATAAAATAGCATAAGAAATCAGGGACTAGAAACCTGAAAAGGTGTGCAGAACAAAACCTTTATATTGAAAAACGTTTTTGAGAGACATAAATGGAGGGATACTATCTTCGTGGGTCTTACCTTCTTGTTCTCTGGGGGTTTTTTAATGCTTCCTTGTTGCCTACCTCCTCTTAATAAGTTAGGTAGCGTAACTGGGACTCTCTTAATTTTTGCTAGATTAGAAGAATGGCTATGTACTATCTGTTTATTTTCACTTTGCTTGAGAGACAGATCTCCATGCCAATTTACTCCCCAAATGCTCACAACAGGGCTGGGCCGGGCCAAAGCCAGGAGCGCAAAACTCAATCCAGGTCTCCTACATGGGTGGCAAGGATTCAGGTACGTGAGCTGTGACTGCTGCCTCACAGGATACACACTGGCAAGAAGCTGAGTTGGAAGCATAGCAGGAACTTGAACCAGGCACTTTGATATACGATGTTCCAGAGTCCCAAGTGGCTTTTAACCTCAGAGCCAGACACTGTCTGCCCGTCTTAGCTCTTGGTGTTAAATATCCTGCCTTAATTGTACATGTGGCCTCATATTCATGAATTTTTAGAAAAATACTTATTTGAAAGGCTGCCAGAGGGAGAGGAAGAGACAGTGCTACTTACTGATTCCCTGAATGATCAGAATAGCCAGGTGTGGGCCAGGTTCAACTCCATCCTGATCTTCCACTTGGGCAGCAGGCTCCCAGGTGTTGGAGCCATTCTCTGCTGTCTTCAGGGCTTTAGTAGGGAACTGTGCTAGAAATGGAGCAGCAGGGCCGGCGCTGTGGGCCAGTGGGCTGAAGCTCCAGCCTGCAGCACCGGCATGCTATGTGGATGCTGGTTCTAGTCCTGGCTGCTCTGCTTCTAATCCAGTTCCTTGCTAACCTGCCTGGGAAAGCAGCGTAGGATGGCGCAAGTCCTCAGGCCCCTGCACCCATGTGGGAGCTATGGATCAGTTCAGCTGTGGCTGTTGCAGTCTCTTGGGAAGTGAATCAGCAGGTGGAAGACCTCTCTCTACCTCTCTGTAACCCTGTCTTTCAAATACCTAAAATCTTTTAAGAGAAAAAGGAGCATCTGAGACTTGAACTGGCATTCCTTATAAGGGGTGCTGAGATTGCAGTTGGTGACTTAGCCTGCTGCACCACAGACCTGCCCCTTCATACTCAAGATTTTTAGAATCCAATATTGAGTTGCCTTCTTGACCATCAGGAAGATGAGCATTATTTCAGAAATTGGAGTCGTTGACTGAAGAGGTTGGGGAACTGGTCTCAGGTTTCTCAGCCTGACCATCTCAAGAAGCAGAGACTTCAGTGCAATGGCCTTGGCCCTGGGCGGCAGGAGGAGTGCTGGGTTTAGGTCTCCCACTTTGCTAGCTGCCGCTTCGTTTCAGTGTGGGGCTTCTAGACTATCTGGGCACAGTTCCCAGAAAGTCGTTCTGCTGCTGCTGCCCTGATCCGGTTTCTGAATCTCTTAATAATAGACAACAGTGGGGGAAGGGCCAGGATTGGGACAGAAATAGGAATTACCAAACCACACGGACAGTTCCTGTGCCTGGGGCCCTGTCTGTGCCTTCCCTGAATCTAATCGGAGTTCTGCAAGCCTTCTAAGGACGCGCCTTCTAAGCGCTCTTTGGGGCTTGTTAAGGTCGCCAAGTCCCTGCCCCCAAACTCAGAATACATGGGCCAGGGAACACTGATGTGTTTATGAGAACAGTGAAGCAGAATATTTGAGATCTGGACTCTCCCAGAAACTCCAGGATGAGTGATAATACCCCTTAGAGATCACCCAGAAGGGAAGCATTGGCTGGTGCAAATAGTGACCTGAAAACAGGCAAATGATATACAATCATGGAGTGCAGAAGAGGAGTGGAATTTGGTCGACCTGGAGAAAATGGGGAGATGCTGATGTTGGGAAAATGGGAGAACAAGACAAGCATGTGAGATGGCGTCGAAATCAAATTTGAAATTGGCACAGTTTACTCTTCGATGCGCCTTAATCTCCCTGTTCCCCGTGAGTGGCCTTCCTTTCAAGGCTCCCCACCCCTTGTACTTGTTTTCCGCTGTCAGAACCTGCTCTCAGGGTATGCTCAGTGCAGACTAGGTAGAAATGATTTAAAACCATTAAGGCCTCAAGAATTACCAGTTGGAAAAATGTGAAACCCTTTTATTATAAAATACAACAGATACAGAAGCCTACATAAAGAGAAGATGTAGCCTTTCATGGCCACTCAGACTCAAAAAAGAAAGCATGCAACTTAGTTTTTGTGAAGACCCTGTTAGCCCTCAGGACTAGAAACAACATGGCTAGCCACTCCAGAAGCAAGCTGCGTGCCCCAGCCCATCACAACTTCCTGTTACCGGAAATAACCACCCATCCAGATTTTTATGGTCATCACTTAGAAGGGGTTTATTTTAATGGAACAAAAGATTTAGCTGTAAGTAATCACTAATGGTGAAACACTGGGTCATTGAGGGGGCATTTGGAGGAGCTGGTAGAGGCAGCCAGATCTCTACACTTAAATCATGCAGTTTCACACAGTTGGTTGCCTCTGCCTAGGGTTAAGGTACACCTCACTGGAAAAGGATCCCACAGAAGACCAAGTACAGGATTGTGCCCTGTGCCCTCAGCTGTCTTACTCGTCCCGATGCAGAAAGAGCCATATCCTACAGTCTTCCCAAAGCAGAACAAGAGTAAGGTCCGCCTCACAGTGTGTGGGAGTTGTGAGCAGCCGGCCGTCTGCTGCAGTGCCCACCAGTGAGCCCAGGACTTTGCCTGAATTTGAGGGGCTCAGATCCTCACTGTGAGGGAGAGTCTAATAAAGCCTTTCCCAGTCCCTAATCCCTCTCCCCATTTGGTCCCCTTTGCTCAGTCTTCGCTTCCGTCTCAGCTGTCTGTTTTCCCGGTAGGCAGCACATGACCTGTGTAGCCAAGCGAGTGTCTTTCCAGCCTGTTGGTGCTGCTCTGTGCTGCAGACTCTCACACTAGGAGTCTGCTTCATCTCTCCACGCCTTTGTAAACATGCACGTATGTCCTAGCCCTGAGGAAGCGCTTGTCAAGAGAATGCATGTGAAGAAAGAGCAGGGCAAGCACTTGGCTTCGCAGCTCTGCCACCGGTTGGGATGCCCGTGTCCCACATCAGAGTGCCTGGGTTTGATACCTGTTTCCAGTTCCTGAGCCCACGTTCCTGCTCATGCAAACACCAGGAGACATGGGTGATGGTTCGAGTAGTTTGGGTCCATGCCACCAACAAGGGCAACCCGGCATGAGTTTCCAGCTCCTGGCTTCAGCCAAGCCCACCCTGGCCGTTGCAAGCATTTAGGGAGAGAACCAGCAGATGAGAGGTCTCTCTCTGTCTTGCTCTTGCTATCTCAAAAATTTTTACAAAAAGAAATGACTTGTTTCACACATTCACACATGCTTTCCTTCACTATTTAGCGAGTGCCTAAAATAGATAGCACTGGTCCCGCTACACCTTCAGGTCATCATTTCCTCTCCTCCCTTTCTCCCCATCTTCCCGCTTTGCCATCCTTTCATTCGTCCTTCCACTGTGTCACAGAGCTAGGCTCCGAGGCGGAGACCCAGGAGCAAGCCGGTGGAAATAGACACTGTGGAAAGGAGCCAGCTAAAATGAGGGCAGAGACAGCTACCGCGTGCAGAGCCTGAGCAGAGTGAGAAGCAGTGATTCCAGCAGTTCTGCTACTCAAGACACTGCGGGATTGGGGTCATCGAAGGGGGGACCGCCAAGAGGAAGGGCAGCCTGGATGCATGCTGGCCAACCCGTCAAGACATTCTGTCTCCCTAATCCTCTGCTCACCCCACCCCACCCCCTGCCTCCCACTGACCAGTGTCCTGGGCCTTTAAGAGTTGGATGGGCTGGACTGAGGAGAGCGCTCACACTTCTCCCCACCCTAGCTCTTGCCTTCGCTCTAACTGCCAGTCAGCAGCACACTGCAGGGGAAGGGGAGAGAAGCAGGCGACTGCACAGGAGAAAAGGCACACAGGAACCAGGCTGGGCTTCCTCACCCCGCAGCGGACAGCACCGCAGAGCTCACTCAGGAGGCCTGGCTCTCACACACGGGACTGCTCACCTGCCCACGGTAAGGGTCTGGAGGCTCTCACCAGCCTCCGCTCCGGACTCTGTCCTGCCTGAGTCTCTGACTGCCCTCCACATGCTTCTCTATCCTGATAAGACTGCAGCCTGCACTCCCTCTCCACCCCAGTAGCTCTCCAGGGCCCCTGCCTCTTCCTGGCACTCCCCAGCTTATCCTCCCGAACTCAGTGTTCCTCCTGGCTGTGTCAATCACCGCTTAATATGAGGAGCCTCTTAGCTCTCTGGGGCCAGGAGAGCTGTCCCTAGCCACTTCTCAGAGCTGAGTCTATTCCAGTGAGGGAAGAGGAAGAATTGAAATAGCCAATTGAAAAAGCTTTAGCATAGATTCATTAACAGGTGGTTAAGGGTTACCAAGTGAGGGCTGGCCAAGACCCATGGGTCTTAGAAAGAGCCAGGATTTGAATTTTTGCCTAGTCCTTTGCCTGCTCAATGAACCAGAGAAGTTTCTTTGTGCACCAGAGTGCACAGCTGGGAAGAGCACCTGCCTCCAGTCCCGACTGCCATTAATTAGCCCTGGGACTTTGGACCACAACTTTCCGGACTGTGATAGGAGAGAGTTTAGGGTTTTGCAGACTTACCTGTGTACCGGGTATGCTTGTTGAAAATAAATATTTTTGAATCCCGTCTGATCTGGTAGATTCCAGAAGAGGCCGAGGAATCCTTATTGTTAAGACACTCTCCAGGGGTCATTGAAGTTGCCAGGAACTTCTGGACTAGGTGCACTAAACAGAAGAGCCTCCAAACTGACGTTCTGGGAGCTGTGACCTGACACCAGAGCCATTCTGTCCTTTTATATGAGCCAGGTTAGCTATAATCCTTCTCTGAAGCCAGGGAGCAGGTAAAATCATTCTCTCCCTCCTTGCCCTTGCCCTTCAAAGCGCCCTGGGACGTCATTGGTGCCATTGGCAATTCTGGTGAAGTCCATCTCTGGTTGACATGAAGTCTGTTGGAAGTTGAAAGCCAAATCCTGCTTTGTAGCCATGGGTCACTTCCCACCTTATTTTGTGTCTCTTTTTCCCATCTATATTTAGAGGAAATTGTAGTCTCAAAGATCTCCAAATATGTATCTAGGAGTTAATTTTTAAGACCCTATCTCTTAGTCCTCATCCTCTGTGTCCTTGCCAGTAACCCCCACCTCCCCAACCCTTTGGTTCTTCTCTCCCCACCACGACTGCATCAGCTGTGACCATCAGCCCCATCCTACACCAGAGCGATCACCTAGGTTCCAGCTTGAATTCTCTGGGCAGTTTGTTTAGTCTGTTTCCTAGGATACAGGGCAAAGTGAGGCTGAGCAGAGGGACACGGTACTGAGCATCCAAACCCAAGTGGCCTCCCTCCTGCAGCAGAGTCTCCAAACCATCAAAGGGCATGTGAATCAGAACTGCTGGGAATTAGTGAAGATGAAAGAGGGAAGCCACAGGAGGAGGTGACGAGGCCAAGGGACAAGGAGAAGAAAGAGAAGAGGAGAGCCAAGAGAGGTTGATCTGAGAGAAGGGGAGACAGAGGAACTCAGGAGAGAGAAAAGTGAGCTGGGAAGGAAGGAGAAGGATTAGGTCAGGCATGGGTTGGGGAAGGGGAGAAGAGAAAGAAAAGAAAGGCTGCCTGGTGGGATTGAGGATGATCAGAAACCTAGCCTGGAGTCAACCAGCTCCCTGGGGAAGGCCCTTAAAGGGGCAGAGTCTTCTGAAATCTCTGCACCGGTTGCATGGAGACCTAGGTTCTAGTTCTAGTTCTGGCACTCACTACGTGACTCTTGGCAGTCCAGTTCACCTTTCTGGTCCTCACTCCCCTTCTCTACAAAAATGAAGACCAACTCTGACATCCTGGGGCTCTCTCAGCTGAAATCGCTGCTCATGGCCACCTGTTTCCTGGATGGATACAGGTTTAACATAGAGATTCAGCATTTCAGAAAAAATCATTGCTGTATGTAAAAAAAAAAAAAAATTGAGATTCAGGAATGAGAGCAGGATTGGAAGAAGAAGGCCAAGACCTGGGATTGGAAGAGTTTGACAAAGGAGGGAAAAATCATTTTCCAATCTAGTTTGAGACCAGTCTTTGAAATAAGAGGACCCAGGCACGTAGACTCTATGTTTCAGGCCATCGCTGTGCAGGTGTAAGGGAAATTAATTCTGTCTCCCCTTGGGCCCAAGGTCCATGTGCTCAGGTTCAGAGAGAGGAGAAGGCAGGATGTTGGTAAGGGAGTTTAGACTTCAGCCCAGGCTGACCCAGTCCTACCAGAGTCTGAGGGCCTGAAAAATTCAAAGAGTGACCTGTCACTTTGTTAACAGTCTTCAGGTAGCTTCTGCGAGGCCCGGGTGTCCCATCCTAGAAAAGAAGCGCCAGTTCTCTGTCTCTCAGGAAGCTTGCAGCCCGAGTTTCCTCAGGTTTCAGCCAGGCATGTGTGTTTGGCCTCAGTCAGCAAAACCTTTTCTTCCAGGGACCGGCACAGGGCTGCTTCCTCCCGGAGACGGCTTCCCAGGCCGCCCCTCCCCTTCCAAGCACCTAGGTGCTGTGGTCGGCAGTGACCCTCCAATTCTCCCTGATGACCTAGTCACCTTCGCTAATGAGGGCTCTGTCTAATCTGCTGTCTGACCTCAGCAAAGTCCCATTGCTAGAATTTCTATAAAATGAGAGTTGGACTACATGATGCTTGGAACACTACCTAAAAATATTGGCTTCACAGATTTTTATTTATTTATTTGAAAGAGTTACACGGAGAGAGAAGGAGAGGCAGAGGGAGAGGGAGAGGGAGAGAGAGGGAGGTCATCCATCCACTGATTCACTCCCCAGTTGGCCACAATGGCCGGAGCTGCTCCGATCTGAAGTCAGGAGCTTCCTTCGGGTCTCTCACATGGGTGCAAGGGCCCAAGGACTTGGACCATCTTATACTGCTTCCCCAGGCCATAGCAGAGAGCTGGATCGGAAGTGGAGCAGCTGGGACTAGAACCGGCGCCCATATGGATGCCGGCGCTGCAGGCAGCAGCTTTACCAGATACACCACAGCGCCGGCCCCGGCTTCACAGATTTTTTAAAGTTTTTTTTTTTTTAATCATCACTGTCAAAATTTTAAACTTTTTGACAAGCATAACCTATTTTTATTCAAGCGTAGGTCCTTTGCGTGTGCAAAAGCATCAAGTTTTCTGTTTCATGGTAGGTATGTCAGTTCAGCATGATCTGGTCAAGAGTTCTTTTTTCTGTTTTTTTTTTCTTTTTTAAGAGGTAACTAAATTTTAAAAGAAAAATTTTTTGAGTGGAAGAGAGACAGAGAGCATGATCCTATCCAGCAGGTTCACTCCCCAAATACCCTCATCGACTAGGGCTGGGTCAGGCCAAAGCCAGGCACTCAGAAGTCAATCTGGGTCTTCAGTGGAGGTGACACGAGCCCAATTATCTGAGCCATAACCACTGCCTCCCAGGGTCTGCATTGGTGGGAAGATGGAGCCAGGAGCCAGAACCAGAAATTGAACCCAGGCCCTGGGATGTGAGATGCAGACGCTTAGGGAGCTAAACCCCAGCTCCCTAGAGTTGAGTATTTCTACAGGGGCAGAGCCAAACAGAAACCACATATCAAATCTTCCAGCATTTCTTGTCAGCTACTAGGACAACTTTTTTTTTTTTATCTTTTATTTAATGAATATAAATTTCCAAAGTACGACTCATGGGTTACAATGGCTTCCCCCCATACCGTCCCTCCCACCCACAACCCTCCCCTTTCCCACTCCCTCTCCCCTTCCATTCACATCAAGATTCATTTTCGATTATCTTAATATACAGAAGATCAGCTTAGTATACCTTAAGTAAGGATTTCAACAGTTTGCTCCCACACAGAAACATAAAGTGAAAAATAATAGATGATTTTTTTTTAAATGATGATGAAATCAGATCAGACCTCTTGTCATGTTTAATCCCAGTGAGAGTCAAGTTGGGAATTGATAATTTCCTTTTTTTTTTTTTTTTTTACAGAAGATCAGTTTAGTGTACATTAAGTAAAGATTTCAATCGTTTGCACCCCCATAGAAACACAAAGTGAAATATACTGTTTGAGTACTCGTTATAGCATTAAGCCTCAGTGTACAGCACATTAAGGACAGAGATCCTACATGAGGAGTAAGTGCACAGTGACTCCTGTTGTTGACTTTACAAATTGACACTCCTGTTTATGGCATCAGTAATCTCCCTATGCACCAGTCATGAGTTTCCAAGGCTATGGAAGCCCCTTGAGTTCTCCGACTCTTATCTTGTTTAGACACGGTCATAGTCAAAGTGGAGGTTCTCTCCTCCCTTCAGAGAAAGGCACCTCCCCTCTTTGAAGACCTGGTC